ACTAGGCCCTCGCTGACCTGTCCTCTGTAAGGATTGCACTCCGTCCACTTCCTTCCTTCTTATGAGACGTCTCAAAAGTCTGCCACAGTGCACTGGGGCAGTTGGACAAGGCCCTCGCTGACCTGTCCTCTGTAAGGATTGCACTCCGTCCACTTCCTTCCTTCTTATGAGACGTCTCAAAAGTCTGCCACAGTGCACTGGGGCAGTTCGACAAGGCCCTCGCTGACCTGTCCTCTGTAAGGATTGCACTCCGTCCACTTCCTTCCTTCTTATGAGACGTCTCAAAAGTCTGCCACAGTGCACTGGGGCAGTTGGACAAGGCCCTCGCTGACCTGTCCTCTGTAAGGATTGCACTCCGTCCACTTCCTTCCTTCTTATGAGACGTCTCAAAAGTCTGCCACAGTGCACTGGGGCAGTTCGACAAGGCCCTTGCTGACCTGTCCTCTGTAAGGATTGCACTCCGTCCACTTCCTTCCTTCTTATGAGACGTCTCAAAAGTCTGCCACAGTGCACTGGGGCAGTTGGACAAGGCCCTCGCTGACCTGTCCTCTGTAAGGATTGCACTCCGTCCACTTCCTTCCTTCTTATGAGACGTCTCAAAAGTCTGCCACAGTGCACTGGGGCAGTTCGACAAGGCCCTTGCTGACCTGTCCTCTGTAAGGATTGCACTCCGTCCACTTCCTTCCTTCTTATGAGACGTCTCAAAAGTCTGCCACAGTGCACTGGGGCAGTTGGACTAGGCCCTCGCTGACCTGTCCTCTGTAAGGAGTCTTCTGCTCCGTCCACTTCCTCCTTCTTATCTCCACTTGTCCACTTATTGAGTGATCAGCAGCCCCATGATTTATCAACCCTTCCAACTCTTGCTATATCGAAATCACTTTTGAGAATCCTCAAAAGTGATTTCGATATAGCCCCATGATTTATCAACCCTTCCAACTCGTGTGCTGTGCTCCACTGGCAGGCTCTGGCATCAAACCCCACAAGCACTGCTGCCTTCATGGCTCGAGCAGGCACTTATTTCAAGATGAACAAGAATGTTGAGGTACATGTGATGATGTATGGTGGCGACGAGGGGTAGGGGGGGGACCACATCATTAGGTAATGGCATCATACATGCATGATGTCTCATCGAGTAGATGGGACAAGATACGCTGTCATCCTCTTACTTACTGCATGATGTCATTAGGTTCACAGGTAGACTAGATCAATTGTGCAGCCGTGTGGATTGCTATCATCATTCGTACATATGACAGACATGCTGCCATGGTCCATAGTTCCAATACGCATGTTGCCATTGTGCTCCTGATCACACCAGATTCTGTCCCGACTCTTGGCCATTGGCCTTGCTGTCAGCAGGCATCCTGCAGTGACACAGCTGCTGCCATCCCTCGTTGCATCTCGCCCTTCTACCCTCTGTTTTATTCCACACCAACTGTCATGTCGTGAAGGCCTTAGTGGACTACTCACGAGTCATTGACCTGGACCCCTCCAATGCCGAAGCTGTCAGGTGGCGAGGTGAGTGCTGGTGGTGGGTGCGAGACACGACACAGCACTGCTGGCTTAGTTGTTCTCATCTCACTTCCACGTGCTTCCATCTGCCTTTTGAGTCGACTCAAATGCTGATAGAGGCGCGCCATCATGTGAACATCTGCCTTTTGAGTCGACTCAAATGCTGATAGAGGCGCGCCATCATGTGTCCATCTGCCTTTTGAGTCGACTCAAAAGTCACTTCCACGTGCTTCCATCTGCAACCGTCTCCGCTCGTTTCCTTCAACACACTCGCTCTCCCTTCAACACACTCGCTCTCCCTTCTCATCCGCTCATCCCACCCCTCCTGTCTCCTCTCTATCTCACTGCCAGGCATCTTGTCATTCAACCTAAAGTACTACTATGCAGCTGAGAAGGACTTTCAGCAAGCCATTCAGCTCGACCCCTCTCTTCCCTTCGTCTTTAAAGGCCTTGTATGTTATTCCTCACTCACGATGCTTCCTCATTCTTCTGATCTGTTGACGCTTTTAAATCCTCATTCCTTTGGGTTTGGGGGCATTTTTTATTGCTTCTTCCCTCCTACCATATGTCCAACATGCATTACCTGTTCATTAGGTGTTTCTCCCAGCACCCAAATTCCACTCTCCTCTTCTCCCTTTCGATCCATCCCCATTGTGACACTGTCCTCTGCTCCCCTCTCTCTAACGATCCTCACTCCCATAATCCCATTTCCTCTAGGGCCTCGCCATAGGGGGCAGTGGGAGGTGGCGGGAGTCGTTGCCAGTGTTTGCAGAGGGAGTGAGGCGCCACCCCCAGGATGCGGACCTGTGGCATTCCAAGGGGCGCGCGCACAAGGAGGTGGGCGAGGTGGATCAAGCCATACAGGCGCTGCAGCGAGCGCTGCAGATCAGAAAGTGAGTGAGTGCCGTGGATGTGACTGCTTACAGTCCCCGCGTCCTTCCTTTCCCTTGCTAGTACCCATTCTGGGGGCACGCGTAAATGATACCACTGACCACACCCTGTGCTCACACCCGTGCATTTCTGCGTGTACTTTACAGGGCAGTGGCGACCTATCAGGAGCTTGTGTCTGTCAGCCGATTCGTGGGTGACTACAGGTGAGCTACCCGCACTTGCACAGTCAGGGTGTTTTCTTTTGTTCTGGGGAAGCTTTGTGTTTTCTTGTTGGCTGGATGAATATGACCTATGGAACTCCATCCCTACTTTCCCTCTCTTCTTCTCCCCTCGCTCCCACCCCACAGGGCCGCCATACGCTATGCAAGGGAGGGGTTGGAGCTGGACGGAGGAGACATGGAGCTTGTGCACGCCCACGCCAGCAGCCTGCATGCCCTGGGGGACCTCGCCGAAGCTGTGAGCATCCCACACCCACACCCACCCCAAGCTGTGTGCTGTCCATTAGTGAGCTGCTACACGCCATGCTGTTCCCTGTATAGTCTCCTTTCACACCAGCCTCATCAGGACCGCCCACCCCTCATCTGCACACCTGTGATGCCCTGCCCACAGATGCGCAAGTACCAGGCAGCGCTGGCAATGCAGCCCAGGGACCAGGAGGGACAGGCTCTCCAGCACTCCATGTTCTACCAGGCATGTTCTACCAGGCATGTTCTACCAGGCATGTTCCAAAAGTTCAGCGGTTTTGTTGTGCTTTTTGTCCCACGGACAGTGCCTTGCCCGGTATCTTTCCCTTCCTCATCTGCTCCCTCCTTCCCCTATCTGCTACTACCACTCCCCTCCCCCTCTCAGAGGGAGGTCCTGGCCTACACCGTTGCTCACTTGCAGCAGCCGCTCTCCTCCATCCGCTTCGACTGGGATTTCACTGCTGAGTTCAGAGTATAGCCACCACTTACCACCCCCAACACAGCCGTCCTCATCACCTGTTGCATTTATTTCCGTCAATACAACCATATTCAGTGGCCTTTCTTTGTTCGCATGCTATTGCTATTGCCATGTTTCTCCCCTTCGCGTCCCCTCCCCCTCATACGTATTTTCCCCCTCTCCCATAACTCACATACCCCCCCCCCCCCAACCGCAACAGGAGGCATGGACTAAGAAGGACCCTATAGCAACACTGCCAGGTTACCAGCCCATCTCGGTCAGTTCACGCCAATCACAGCGCGCCACGTTGCAGTCCCTGCCCAAGCTGTCACGTGAAGCGTTGGATCTGATCGGAGCAGCGGACAGGATCGGCCAGCGGGCCCACTACCACTGCGATGCCTTCATGGCAAACCGGCAGCAGGTATCAGCACAGACATGCCAGCATGCTTGTCTTGTTGCTTTTTTGTCTCAACAGTCCTTTGCATTGGGTCCCAATACGTGAAGATATGCTTTTGGTCTCTCCCTCAGTAACTCTTTTCCTGTTCTCTCTCCACTCCTCTCCCTGTCCCTTCACTCCTCAGCTGCGCATGGCAGGGCTGGCAGCTCTAGACGTGATGCAGCAGGTCAGTCAATCAAATCTGCCCTTTCCCAATGCTTGTCACTAGGGGTGTTGTAGGAGGTGTGAAGCCTTCTAAGCAAGGTACGGTAGCCACTGGCTAGTACTGCTGTGTGGTCAGTATGTAGTCTTGCACTTACTGTGTATGTGTGCCGTCCCATTCATTTGTCGCTCCATGTGTGCACATGCCATGGCACAGGCAAGGGCAACATGGGATGCTATGGAACGGGAGCAGCAAGAGGGGGAGGAGGCAGCAGGTGGTTACAGAGTGACAGACTCCAAAGCAACCAAGGAAGAAAATACACCAGGAGGAGAGGGAGGCGGCGGAGGGGTACAAAGCAGGGAGAAGCAGAGGCAAAGGGGAAGTGACAGCTCGGGCAAGGGCAGTCAGAAAAGCAGCAGAAGCAAGGGGCCTGGCGGTGGGGTGCTGAAGGGGTGGAGGGATGTGTACGAGGTGATCACGAGATGGCGGCAGATCTCTGATCCAACGGATGCTGTGCTCTGGAAGGACCAGCTCAAGTATGTGCCACTGCCATCGCTCGTTGTGGTCAGATGCCACAATAACCACAATGCCGTGTGACCGCCATTATGATCGCTCTTCTCAATCACGTTCTCAGCCGAGTAACATCGTTCAATATCATCGCTCATTCACTCGAATTCAGTACATGCATTTGTGTCAAACGAGCAGAATCGGCATGGGATGGCAAGCTGAATGACAAAATCCTGATGGCATGTGATCGTGTCCCTGGCATGGGACTGGTGTACTATTGGCTTTCCTCTGCAGGAATCGCTTTGCGCAGGGCTTTCGGTCGTCCACGCCCATCAAGGTGTGGGATCTGCAGACCGTCAAGTACTACCCCGTCTTCAACAAGTGCGTACTACCTCCTAACCACACCACACCTCTCTTGCACTGCTTCCGCTTCTATGCCAACCGTCAAGTACTACCCTGTGTTCAACAAGTGAGCACTAGTATTACCTCCTACCACACCTCGTCTGCTCTGTGGTCACTCCCCCCCCCTGCAGCCACGTTTTCCACTTCTGAAATCCTTTCAATGTGTGGCAGATCGTTTGAGGCCATGCGCGAGGCTCTTCTGGAGTCCGAGCAGGCCTTCACAAACAACCAGCCCTTCGCAGTGCCACGCAACACACGTGGCGACATTGTGAGTGGGGTGTGCATGTCCCGTGGAATGCGCGTGTCTCTTGAAACACACGTGGCGAGCACCAGCGCGTGAGCACCACCAGCAATTGAGCCGGCGTGAGCACCACTGGGGCAGCGTATGAGCGGGCAGTGCAGCGAATGAGCGGGCGGTGCAGCGTATGAGCAGGCTGTGCAGCCCTTCATCAGGCTGTGAGAAAGGATTTTTTGGTTCTGAGGCGCCTCAATACTAGATTCCCCTCGCCCCTAACTCCCCATCCTTCCTCAGATCACCAGGGCGGCTGACCTCCAGGCGCTTCATCAGGCTGTGGGAAAGGACTTTCTGGTCCAAGCACCCTGCTACAGCCATGCCGTTCCAGGGTACGGTTTCCCTGCTATAGTTGGGCATGTGCGCGGCACTGTATGTCCTGTTCCATGCCCCAGCCATGAGGTCTCAAAGTGGTGCCTCGCCACATCGTCTCATCTGTATTCTCATCTCATCGTTTCTGTAATCTCCTCACATCCCCCCATCTCATGCATGCCCATGCCCATGCAGGAAGGACCTCACCGGGTCAATGTTTGAAATCCTCAAGACGTAAGCCTTTCCCTTATGCTTTCTCAAGCTGCCTCTTCCCCCACGCATCAGCCAGAGCACACTGGTTACCACCCAGTTCTCATCAGCTCACTTTGCTTGCACACTCTCCTATTGAGGCCATTTGCTCATTGAATTCTGTCTTTCACTCACCTATCCCTCTCTTTTTCTGCATGCACTCCTTGAACCACCCACTCACCACATTCACTCGCCCCTGCTTCTCTGCCTGCACCATCCCAGCGCACACACGTTTAGCTTCTGCACACACACACACCAAAACAACTTTCTTCCCGACTCGCCCCTGTCTGTCTGCCTGCACCATCCCATCCCAGCACACACGCGTTCAGCTTCTACACGCACACACCAATCAGCCCCCGGCGGTGGCAAGACTTCGACCAGGAGCTCACTGCTGCATGGCAGGTCAGGCACGCATGACTCATACGCATTAGCGTCTACTTATGCCCGTCGATCCTTCTCTCTGAAAGAATCTCCTTTCTCTCCTGTTGGTCCTTTCCCTTATCATGCAACCTATCCGCACAGACCTTGCTCTGTCTGCCTTTTCAGTTTGACGCAAGTGCTGCATATTTGCAAGAATGCCCCTGTCTCTCCATTCCATCTACTCCTGTGCTCATCCTCCCTGTCACCAGTCCCTGTGTGCAGCAGTGCCGCATTCGCAGATGCCTCTGACTTGATAGTCCATCCATTCCTGCTTCCCCATCCTCCCTAACACCAGGCGCTGTGTGCGGCAGTGCTGGACGCACGGATGCATTTGGGTTAATATTTCGTCCATTTCTAATTCCCTTTCCTCCCTCCCACCAGGCGCTGTGCACGGCAGTGCTGGACGCACACACAGAGGCAGCAGACCCGCATCGCTACCGCCAGAGGATTCAAGACGCCATCCTCCGCCTGGGGTACTTCTGGTCAGTACGGCACACTGTGCTGTGCATGTGTAGTCAGTGGGGTACTTCTGGTCAGTGAGAATGACCACGCATGGCTGTGCCTTGCACAGTGATACATGGCATAGGCTCGCAACTGCTTTGAACCTGCAGCTCCTGTCACGCATCATGGTTGCATGCCCCTCGCTCCATCTTCGCCTCTGCACCATTTCTCCTCTCGCTCCCACCCTCCCTATGCCAGGTTCCAGCTGATGCCGTTGACTCGCGGGTCCGCCATGGTGGGGCTGGTCTCCCTCCTCGGCCTCTCCATGGCTGCTGACATGCAAACCACTGCGCTCATCCCATATGGGGTGCAGGTAGGCTGAGAAGTGCCTGGTAGTTGCACTTGGGGCTGGGATGCACTTTTCTTTCTTTGCAACCTATGCAGTAAGGAGTGGCTTATATTCAACCAGCAAATACGCACCAGATAGCCCCCCAGTGGTTTCATAGAATCAGGGTGAGAGGAAGAAAAACACACACTTGAGCTCTGACTCTATACTGGAGTCTGGAGCAGTTCGTATTGGGTATTTTGCCCTGGTACGATCAGTCACCACACGATCAGGGCCTTTTGATGGTATGAGTTTCATTCATACACCACCTTCATCATGTCGCTTCCATTCAGGTGGACTGGGAGGCTTTACTCGTGTCTCGCTTTGAAGACTTCAATGCCTCAATTGCCCCATGGCTCTTTGCCTCTACTCAAAGCTCGCCCTGGGGTCTTGCCCCTATTGAGGGCATCTTATCCGCAACGCACCATGTGATTGCAGCGTTGAGCTACGATATAAAGCATAAAAGGTGACCATATGCTGGTTGCCTCATTTAGCAACATTTTATACAACTGACGCTGCGACGTTAGGGAAGTACAATAATGAGGAGCACAAAAACTGATTTTTAGTCACCCTTGACATAACATATTTTTTAATGGTTTAGTCCCCGATTTAGCCGTATGCTTGCTTTGAATCAACATTTGTATATCGAAACACGTAATATGTCGTTGTGCGCTCGAAGGGCCATGGTGGTGCCCGAAAAAGGCTTTTCCCTCCAGACGGTTGACGTGACGGTCAACTCAAATTTGAAACTCTGGTCTGACACTTGCACAAGATGCGAGCCAATGAAGTTGCTGCTTGTCAGCAAACCTCACCTCACCATCACCACCCCATCCAACGCAGTAGATGTCAGGAGCACCTCCCCCGCGAAAACACGGTAAGGGTTGATGGATGTCGATGGATGTTAGAGCGTGTCCGAAGTGAAGCGTCGAATGGATGTCGATGGATGTCGGTAAATGTCAACCCTCGGATCGAGAGTTCCAACCGTCACGATTTACCGACATCGGATGTCAACGGATGTCGACTTCACTTCGGCGCGCCCTAACTTGATCCCCACAGCGGAGAAAGGTGCCTCTCCAACGCTGGCGAAAACTTTAGTCCACTCGCCAGGGCTTCGGACGTTCTTCGCGGCTCCCCGCCGTTCAGCGTACCTCCTCCGCCAACTTCCCAAAGCTTCCCGCCTTGTCAGCGCAAATTTCCCGCAGCCAGATGCTGCAGCGGCGTTCCCCGCCTTGGGGTTGCACCAGGGAAGGGTTCGTGGCGACTTGGCTCTTGGCTTCCCTCGCATTCCCTTCTTTCGGCTCTCCACTCCTCTCCTCTTCGATCCACCCCTCTCCTTTCCTCTGCACCCCTCTCCTCTCCTCTCCACCCTTCTCCTCTCCTCTCCACCCCTCTCCTCTCCTCTCCACCCTTCTCTCCACCCCTCTCTCCTCTCCTTCGTGACTCTGCTGCACCTCACTTCCGCTCGCCTCACATCCCTCTCGCTTAGTCGTCCTCCGCGAGTTCTTTCAGGCGCTTGCTTGCTAACTTGGTCCGTCCGTCCATGGCCGCTTCTTCAGTAATGACACGTGCGTAAAAAATAGCAATCGCTTGAGGCTAAGCTTAGGCTTCTGATAAAAAAGCTCTACACTCCTTATTGGACGACCGTCAGACCGTTTTCTGGACGACCGTCAGATCGTTTTCTCAGATCGTTTTTCTGGATCTTTGTTCAACGACGAGCAACTCGTTACTTCCATAGAATTTAGAAGCCAGGACTCCGTCAACTCCGTTTGAGCGAATAAGATCCCATCAGCTTCGTTTAAGATGAGTTTTGATTTAACTTCAGGCTCTCGACCTGAACATTCCTTACACGATGACGTTTCCCGTCGGTCATTCTTCATCAAAGGACAGCGTTCGCGTGGCTAGGGTTCTTGTAGGACGATGCGATTTAGCATTTCTCGCTCGCGACGTTGCGACGGAAGAGGAGGAGTTTCATTCGGCTTCAAATGAAGCATAGAGCATTTTTCTTCAACGAGCACATATTGGTCCCGCAGCATGCATGGTCGCTTCCAAGAACGTCTCGTTGACGCATCAGCGACGTTAACGAAGAGGCGACGCGACGCGACGCCGTCCGACTACGCTGATGACCACGCTTTCAACAACTAACAGATGCAGTCGCGACGCGACGCCGTCCGACTACGCGACGCGATGCATGATGGAAGAGATCCCGATGACACGCTTCGTGAAGTCGACACGCTTCGTGGAAGGATGCTGTTTCCGAGCTCACGAAATCCTTGGCGGAGAAGCGTTTCGTCAATCCGAAATCCTTGCGAGGCCGTCGACGCTCGCGAGGGTGGGACGACGGAGGAGAAAAGAGCTGCGCGCCAACACTTCGAGGTTCGCGAGGAGCTCGCGACGTCCCTACGAAGCTCGCGACGTCCCTACGGATCATTATCTTGATCGACGGAGGAGGAGCAGCTTCGTGGATTGGACGACGCGAATACGTCGCCATTCGCGCCGCTACTACTGTGGGTTTTCGTCCAAAGCCCAGACGCTTGTTCTCAGGAAGCGCTTTTATTGAAGAGGAGTGTCTCCAGTTGCTCTTTTGCTGCTCGCTTGATGCTCGTGTCTCGTTTCCGACATTCCGCTTAGTCTTCTGACGATCGCGTTTCGTTTCTGTTCAATCTGACGGTCTTGATGTCTCACATGTTGTGAATTGATGTCTCTGTCCGTGCAGGAGCGATGGTGCAGTGAACCCGAGCTGGAGTGATGTCTCTTGCCAAGAAGATGCTTGCTGGCGTTGGTGCTGGCGAGAGGAGATGGCTGACAGGCGTTGCTTCTGGCGAGAGGAGATGGCTGACTGGCGTTGCTCCGCGCACCTCCCCGCGCTCAAGCCGCTCCTCCAATCACAGCTCTTAGAGGCCATCACCGCCGCCCTCGCGCGCAAGCCCTCCGCGCGGATCGGAACCAACGTGGGCGGCGCAGGCAGAGGCGGGAGCGGATCCTGGGGCTCGCTGACCCTCGGCGGAGCGCCAGCCTGAGCAGCCTGGCGTGCGGCGCGCTGACAGGCGCCGCGGAGCGGGGAGCAGCGCCAGGCCTGGCCCCTGGCGCTGGGGGCGGCGGGGGAGGAGCTTCTCGGGCGGCAGGGGCTGTTTCGGGCAGCGTGCGGGGCGGCAGCGGGCGGCGCAGCAGCGGCGCGGCGGCAATCAATGTCGACGGGAGGTACGACGTGCGACGACGGGACGAGCTCTGACGGTGCTTCATAGCGTGCCACTTCCAGGTACTTCTTGTTTTCACCTTGTTGGCGAGGAGGAGCGTTGGCGAGGAGAGGAGCGTTGGCGAGGAGAGGAGCGCTGGCGAGGAGACGAGCGTTGGCGAGGAGAGGAGCGTTGGAGCGTTGGCGAGGAGAGGAGCGTTGGAGCGTTGGCGAGGAGAGGAGCGTTGGAGCGTTGGCGAGGAGAGGAGCGTTGGCGAGGAGAGGAGCGTTGGCGAGGAGAGGAGCGTTGGTGAGGAGAGGAGCGTTGGAGCGTTGGCGAGGAGAGGAGCGTTGGAGCGTTGGCGAGGAGAGGAGCGTTGGCGAGGAGAGGAGCGCTGGCGAGGAGAGGAGCGTTGGCGAGGAGAGGAGCGTTGGCGAGGAGAGGAGCATTGGAGCGTTGGCGAGGAGAGGAGCGTTGGAGCGTTGGCGAGGAGAGGAGCGTTGGAGCGTTGGCGAGGAGAGGGGCGTTGGAGCGTTGGCGAGGAGAGGAGCGTTGGAGCGTTGGCGAGGAGAGGAGCGTTGGACCGTTGGCGAGGAGAGGAGCGTTGGAGCGTTGGCGAGGAGAGGAGCGTTGGCGAGGAGAGGAGCGTTGGCGAGGAGAGGATCGTTGGCGAGGAGAGGAGCCTTGGCGAGGAGAGGAGCGTTGGCGAGGAGAGGAGCGTTGGCGAGGAGAGGAGCGTTGGCGAGGAGAGGAGCGTTGGCAAGGAGAGGAGCGTTGGCGAGGAGAGGAGTGTCGGCGAGGAGAGGAGCGTTGGCGAGGAGAGGAGCGTTGGCGAGGAGAGGAGCGTTGGCGAGGAGAGGAGCGTTGGCGAGGAGAGGAGCGTTGGCGAGGAGAGGAGCGCTTGCGAGGAGAGGATCGTTGGCGAGGAGAGGAGCGTTGGCGAGGAGAGGAGTGTTGGCGAGGAGAGGAGCGTTGGCGAGGAGAGGAGCGCTGGCGAGGAGAGGAGCGTTGGCGAGGAGAGGAGCACTTGCGAGGAGAGGAGCGTTGGCGAGGAGAGGAGCGTTGGCGAGGACGAGCGTTGGCATGGGGAAGGGGTGTTGGGCGGGGAGTGTGTGCGTAAGGTTAAGGTAAAGCATGGGTGCAAGCATGCAGTGCGCTTTCCTAAGGGCAGCGCCCTTGGGTGGTTTGTGGGTTGTTGTGCGGGGGTGGCTGGGGAACTAGCGCGGCGACGGCCCTCGGTGCTCAAGTAACGAACCTGCGCGTTAAAGCACAATAGGCCCTGCTGGAGCCGAGCCGGCCGGCTCTGGTTCAGGCAAGCTCATGCTACGCCAGGGGGTGGATTTGAGTCTTGTGCCAGTTCGCGCTTTTCCGCTTCCGCTCTTTGCACCTCAAAATACATCCACTCGAGACATGTTGTTTCCTAAAGGGGGTGTCTGTGTGTTTCTGCTTTTGCTATTAAGGTGTTCTGGGGCGGTATGTGTGTGTGTTGGTAATGGGAACAGGTAAAGCATGGGAGGTAGTATGCAGCTCATTTCCTTAGGGGCAGCACCCTTGGGTGGTTTGTGGGTTGTTGTGCGGGGGTGGTTGGGGAACTAGCGCGGCGACGGCCCTCGGTGCTCAAGTAACGAACCTGCGCGTTAAAGCACAATAGGCCCTGCTGGAGCCGAGCGGGCCTGCTCTGGTTCAGGCAAGCTCATGCTACCCCAGGGGGCGGATTTGAGTCTTGTGCCAGTTCGCGCTTTTCCGTTTCCTCTCTTTGCACCTCAAATTACATCCACTCGAGAGGTGATGTTCCCGAAAGGGGGTGACTGCATGCTCCTCCTTGTGCTGGCAAGGTGGGACAGATGGCCGTTGGTTCCCAATGGCCATCGGTGTGGTAAACATTTTTTCCCGAGCGTCGAACCTCCACCTCAGCATGGTGTTCGGGTGAACATCGGGGCAGCAGCCCTGATGGCCAAGAGAGGTTCATTGTGGTCCCATGTCTGTCTTTTATATGCGGAGTCTGATTGACCTCTACCGGTATCCTGTTTTTGTCAGCCTCTACATCCGTGCTATTCAGGTAAGTTCTTGCTATTTAGCTAAAAGCGGATCTCTCAAATTACATGCCGAACTGCTGGATGGGTGGGACTACTGGCGTGTCTAGAAGTTTCAAAAGCTTACGCTTCTCTACCTTTTCTCCCTGTCTTTTGTTGTCCTGAGTGCAGCACTACACGAACCTGTCTGACATCAAGCGTGTCATCATCAACACACATGCCATCGAGCCTCAGGTTTGGCCCTCTTCCTCCCCTCCTCGCCTTACAACACACTAGTGCTGGTCACATTTTAGAGCCCATCGTCCGCTTAGCACAGGCACTGCCATTTCACGCCGTTTTGGGAATGCTGATGCGAATGTTTCCCAATTCACTCCCCTCCCACCCTCTCCCTCATCCAGTCTCTGGTGGAGTTCTTCGGCACGCTGTCCAAGGAGTGGGCGCTGGACTGCATGAAGGAGCTGCTGCTGGTGAACATGCGCGGCAACCTGCAGATCAGCGTACAGGTGGCCAAGGAATTCGCCGAGCAGCTGGGCATGGACAACTGCGTGAAGCGATAATTTCGTTGGACATTTTGTGTCGCGTACCGTTGTTTATACATTGATGTTGTGAATGTTTCTGTTAGGGTATTGGCTTTGAACATTGTGCCTTCAGACATTGGACACTGGACTTCAGGCAGTTTCTGTGTGCCTTGTTCTCTCCTGATTATCCTTTGGTACCAGTAACCATACGGTATGGTTGTGTGAGGTGTAAGCATTCTGCAACAATTAACGTACATGACAGAAACGTAAGCACTGGCACAATAAGTGCAGGATGTACATCACAGAACATTCTATGCATTACCAGAGCCTAGACATAGGGGGACAGCATTTCCTCAAAGCAGGGCTGGCCCTGGGAACGCACTCACTCTTGCAGCTGCAAGGCTTCACAACAGGATTGTTCGCACGAGTGTCGCAACCTTAGTCGCTGACTATGTCTCAAAGACTTCGTCGCGAGACCAAGTGATCAAGTCGTCGAATCAAGGCGAACGTCGATTTTCGTTTGATACAGTTTATCGGCTGAGGAGGAAAGACGGATTTTCGTCGAGTTTTCGGAGTCTTATAGCGAGCTCGACTCACCTCATTAACACATCGATCTGCGTCAATGCGTACCGCCTGAAATCGTCGGGACCTCCTTCCCGTCGCACATTGTTGGCGCGAGTCCACCCGTCAGCGAAACCACTTACTGATGGTTTCCAGGCGCCTCATACTCACACTCCGCGACGCTTAGGGCTTCTGCGATGGCGCCGTCGCTTCGCGCGATCCGTGCGACGTTCGTGTGCCTTTCGCTGAACCTGACCCTGTGCAATGTCTTCACCGGACGCTACTATACCGCGTCAAATCTCGCCTCTCCCGCAACTCGCAATCCTGAAGTTGAATCGGCGGAAGCAGCGGGGTTCGTGCTGCCGAGCTCGGCGCGCAGCTGCGACGACGATGAGAGGATCAATGCAGCCAAGGGTTTGGTCCCCTCGTTAAAAGAACTCACCTGGTGCGTTTCACTCTGACTTCCTTTGCCTTCACTCGGCCCTGCCCTGGTTCGGTTGCGCTCTCGAAATCCTTCCGCTGCTCTCCGTTCCCACTTACTCTGAAACTCCCTTTGTCGTCGTAGGTGTCAACACCCCACTCATGCCACCTCATTTCCTGACATGCCACGTCATTCCTATCATGCCACGTCATGTGCAGGAATCCTGGTCTATGTGACTGGGAGATGCATTTGATTGCATCAGTGCCAAAGCAGAGGACCGCAGCACAGCGCCAGGATCACCAACGCAGGAGCATCCGCACCTGCCTCCTCCCTCTCATTAAAAAGGGTACGCCAACAGTGCTCTCACAATCTCCCCACCCCACACCCCTCCCCTCCCATCAACCATACCTCCCCCGCCCCCCCTGTAACTCCTCCCCGTGCACCTGTGACCTGCCCCCCCATGCCATGTTCCCCACTGTCTTTCTCCTTGCATATTTTAGACGTCTCATTGCATCACCATCTCTCTCTCATTCGTCACCACTGCGGCATTCGACAACCATTGCGCCGCCTTGTGAACTTCAACTTTTTCCTCCTCCTCCTCATCTCCATTCTCCGCCATTCCAACTCCTCCCTCCCCACCACAGGAACCAAGCTCTTCAAACTCCTTTCTCCGCCGTCCCCCTCTGCTCCCCCTCCCCCCGCGTGTGGTTCCCCCTCCTCTGGCCGAGGGGAGAAGCTGCTGCTGGGGGGAGCGGACCTGTGCGCCCTGATGCGCGCGGATGGGGGGAAGAGTGGCTTGGCTGGCGGTGGGGGAAAGGGAGCTGGGGAGGAGAGCAAGGGGGGGCGCAGAGGAGCGGTGGGGAGTTCAGAAGCAACCGTTGAGAAGAGGGGGAAGCGAGGAGATGCGTCGGATAGAGGGGGACATGGGGGGGAGCAGAAGAAGGGACGTGGGGGCAGCGGGGACCAAAAAGGGCATGAAACAACCATGAGGCGCAAGGGAGGGGAGGAGGAGGGCGAGGATGTGGAGGAGAGAGACGGGGGACTGAAAGGAAGGGAAGGAGTGAAGAAAGGGAGGGAGCAGGCGAAGCCGACAGTCAAGAGAAGTGAAAGCAGGGATGAGAAGGGGAGTGGTGGTGGTAGTGGTGGTGGTAGTGGTGGGGCTGGGGTAAAGGGGAAAGGGATCAAGGGGAAGGAAGGGGGGCGTGAGAAGGAGAATCAAGGCGGGCAGGTGAACAAGGAGATGATGATTCGAGCAGCCATCAGCATGGTAAGTGCTGCAATCAGCATGGTAAGTGCTGCAATCAGCATGGTAAGTGCTGCAATCAGCAAGTAAACTCGCATATTCCACCCTACATTGCAGCACATGCCATGCATCGTACGCCATTCACATGCCACAATGTGACACTACAACGCATCCTTCCGGTACTCTAAATTCATCATACGTCCCTCCTCTCCCCAATCGTGGCTTGACTTGATCTTATTCATGCCCTCAGATGCAAGCCAAGAAGTTCCAGGAAGCGATCAACCTCTTCAACCAGGTGCGTTCTCCTCACCCCACTCACTCTCGTGAGCCCACCCCACCCCACTCACTCTCTCTCATCAGTCCACCCCACCCCACTCACTCTCTCTCATGAGTCCACCCCACCCCACTCACTCTCTCTCATCAGTCCACCCCACCCCACTCACTCTCTCTCATGAGTCCACCCCACCCCACTCACTCTCTCTCATCAGTCCACCCCACCCCACTCACTCTCTCTCATGAGTCCACCCCACCCCACTCACTCTCTCTCATCAGTCCACCCCACCCCACTCACTCTCCCTCATGAATCCACCCCACCCCACTCACTGTCTCTCATGAATCCACCCCACCCCACTCACTCTCTCTCATGAGTCCACCCCACCCCACTCACTCTCTCTCATCAGTCCACCCCACCCCACTCACTCTCTCTCATCAGTCCACCCCACCCCACTCACTCTCTCTCATCAGTCCACCCCACCCCACTCTCTCTCTCTCATGAGTCCACCCCACCCCACTCACTCTCTCTCATCAGTCCACCCCACCCCACTCACTCTCTCTCATGAATCCACCCCACCCCAATCACTCTCTCTCATGAATCCACCCCACCCCACTCACTCTCTCTCATGAATCCACCCCACCCACACAGGTGGAAGCGGAGGGCGGTGAGCTCTCGGATCAGCTGTTCATCGGGAGGGGCCTCTGCCACCTGATGCTCAAGCGATTCGATGAGGCAGAAGACGACTTCACAGAGGTGAGTTGAGTTCGAACTCTCAGCTCTTCAATCCGCCCGGTCTACCTGGTTCAACCTACCCACCTGTATTGCAACTTCTGAGTCGTCTGAGCTCTCTCCCACCCTATCCCCGTCTCCCTGCTGTCCCACACCACAGGGCATCCAGCGCTTCCCCAGGAGTGCGGAGCTGTACAGGCGGAGGGCCATGCTGCACATTCAGTGACTCCTAGTGTGACTCTTGAGTCGACTTAAGCCCCACCACTCCCCACCTCTCGCCACCCCCCTGCTGTCCCACACCACAGGGCATTCAGCGCTTCCCCAGGAGTGCGGAGCTGTACAGGCGGAGGGCCATGCTGTATATTGAGAGGAACGAGCGAGAGACGGTGCGTGTCCATGTGGACGTGGAAGGGGTTGAGTGAGTGTGTGACTGCATCGGTGAGTCGGTGGGTGGGTGGGTGGGTGGGTGGGTGGGTGGGTGGGTGGGTGGGTGGGTGGGTGGGCGTATGTGGGAACACGGTGAGTCGTCTCACAACTCAGTCTATTTGAGACGACTTTTGAAGCCCTTCAGCAACCCTCATGCCGCGACCTCCCTGCCTCTCCTCTCGTGCACCTCTGCCTGCCCATCCCTCGTCTCATCACGATGTCACGCCTCTCATGCCTCTGCACGACAGGCTGTGGAGGATCTGAGTCGGTCGCTGGAGATAGAACCCGACAACCAGGACGCCCTGCAACACCGAGGTAAGGCTTGTGTGCAGGCCAAGGGGGTGTCACGTGTGTGCTGGCCCTGGGGTGTGAGGCTGCACCCTTGGCATGGCAAGGCATGGCATGGCAAGCCTGAGGCAGTCGCTGGAGGTCGAACCCGACAACCAGGACGCCCTGCAGCACCGAGGTGCGGCGTGTGTGGTGGCAGAAGGGGTGTGAGGCTGCACCCTTGGCATGGCACACCCAACGGCAGGCAGGCATCATGACCCTCCACCTGCATTTGTTCAGCACGGCCCTTGCAACCAACGTTGTGTGACCCACAGCCAGCCCCGTTCCCCCTCTACCCATGCACCCCCCTTGCCCCCATGCATGCAGGCATCATCGCCTTCCACATACACCTGTACGGCATGGCCATTGCATGCAACCTCATGCAGCTGAGCCCATGTGACCCACTGCAAGCCCCGTTCCCCCTCTACCCGTGCCCCACCCCATGCAGGCATCATCGCCTTCCACATACACCTGTACGGCATGGCCATCGCTGATCTCTCCAGGGCCCTTGACATGCGACCCATGGATGCCTACCTCATCCGCGCCAAGGTGAGAATTTCTGCTCCTGCATTGTGTTGACCTGTGTTGACCTGCGTTGACCTGCGTTGACTTCTATTGACCTGGGTCATAGCGGCCATCGCTGATCTCTCCAAGGCGCTTGGCATGCGCCCCATGGATGCCTACCTCATCCGTGCCAAGGTGCCAACCTCCGTTCCTGCCATGACCTGCGTTGACCTGCATTGACTTGCGTTGACCTGTCATGACCTCAGCCATAACGGCCATTGTTGATCCCTGCCAAGGCATCAAACCCTGCAATTGACCTGCTGGACTTCCTCTGCTCCCTCCCCTCTCACCACAGGGCATAGCCCTGGCGGGGGCAGGGCAGTGGCGCAATGCGAGCGCCGTGTTTGCGGAGGCAGTGAAGCAACTCGTGATGCCAGGCCTTCTAGTTCATCCCTTCCCCTCCCCCCTCACTTCCCTCGTGACTCTTCCCCCCCCTCCCTCCCCCCCACCACAGGGCATAGCCCTGGCGGGGGCAGGGCAGTGGCGCAACGCGAGTGCCGTGTTTGCGGAGGCAGTGAGGCGCCACCCCATGTCGGCCCACCTGTGGACGGAGAAGGGCCGCGTGCACAAGGAGCTGGGGGAGGTTGACCTGGCTCTTGCTGCCCTGCACAAGGCACTGGCGCTGGAAGAGTGAGTGGGGGAGTGGGAGAGGCCGAGCTGGGCTGGGAAAAAGGGAGATTGGGGGTTGGGATTGGGAGAAGGGGCAGTGAGGCGCCACCCCATGTCGGCGCACCTGTGGACGGAGAAGGGCCGCGTGCACAAGGAGCTGGGGGAGGTGGATTTGGCCCTTGCTGCCCTGCATAAGGCCCTGGCTCTGGAAGAGTGAGTTGGGAAGTAGGGGAGGGGGAGGGTGGGGGGTTGGGAGAGAGACACCATCCAATGTCAGCCCACCTGTGGACAGAGAAGGGCCGCGTGCACAAGGAACTGGGGGAGGTGGATTTGGCCCTTGCTGCCCTGCATAAAGCCCCGGCTCTGGAAGAGTGAGTGGAGACTAGGGGATGGGGAGAGGCCGAGCTGGGCTGGAAAGGGATTGGGGGTTGAGAGGAGAGGCAGCGAATCGCCACCCGATGTCAGCCCACCTGTGGCAGTGAACGGATTCGGGGTTGGGGATGCTTGAAGTCAGGTTTGACGTCAAGTTTGAGATGAGGTTTGACGTCAAGTTTGAGGTCCGGTTTGACGTCAAGTTTGAGATGAGGTTTGACGTTAAGTTTGAGATCCGGTTTGACGTCAAGTTTGAGGTCAGGTTTGACGTCAAGTTTGAGGTCAGGTTTGACGTCAAGTTTGAGGTCAGGTTTGACGTCAAGTTTGAGGTCCGGTTTGACGTCAAGTTTGAGATCAGGTTTGACGTCAAGTTTGAGATCAGGTTTGACGTCAAGTTTGAGATCAGGTTTGACGTCAAGTTTGAGGTCAGATTTGACGTCAAGTTTGAGGTCAGGTTTGACATCAAGTTTGAGGTCAGGTTTGACTTCAAGTTTGAGATCAGGTTTGACGCCAAGTTTGAGATCAGGTTTGACGTCAAGTTTGAGGTCAGGTTTGACGTCAAGTTTGAGGTCAGGTTTGACGTCAAGTTTGAGGTCCGGTTTGACGTCAAGTTTGAGATCAGGTTTGACGTCAAGTTTGAGATCAGGTTTGACGTCAAGTTTGAGATCAGGTTTGACGTCAAGTTTGAGGTCAGATTTGACGTCAAGTTTGAGGTCAGGTTTGACATCAAGTTTGAGGTCAGGTTTGACGTCAAGTTTGAGATCAGGTTTGACGCCAAGTTTGAGATCAGGTTTGACGTCAAGTTTGAGGTCCGGTTTGACGTGAAGTTTGATATCCGGTTTGACGTCAAGTTTGAGATCAGGTTTGGCGTCAAGTTTGAGGTCCGGTTTGACGTCAAGTTTGAGATCAGGTTTGACGTCAAGTTTGAGGTCCGGTTTGACGTCAAGTTTGAGATCAGGTTTGACGTCAAATTGTCCTGTTTGACGTCAAGTTTGAGGTCAGGTTTGACGTCAAGTTTGAGATCAGGTTTGACGTCAAGTTTGAGGTCAGGTTTGACATCAAGTTTGAGGTCCGGTTTGACGTCAAGTTTAAGATCCAATTTAACGTCAAGTTTGAGGTCAGGTTTGACGTCAATTTTGAGATCCGGTTTGACGTCAAGTTTGATATCCGGTTTGACGTCAAGTTTGAGATCAGGTTTGGCGTCAAGTTTGAGGTCCGGTTTGACGTCAAGTTTGAGATCAGGTTTGACGTCAAGTTTGAGGTCCAGTTTGACGTCAAGTTTGAGATCAGGTTTGACGCCAAGTTTGAGGTCCGGTTTGACGTCAAGTTTGAGATCCGGTTTTACGTCAAGTTTGAGATCCGGTTTGACGTCAAGTTTGAGATCCGGTTTGACGTCAAGTTTGAGGTCCGGTTTGACGTCAAGTTTGTGTGAGAATTGAACCGATGAGTTGATTAGGAATGATGAGGGCTTACATAGTTGGAGCTAAAGAAAGGGGGTGGTTGGTACCTAGCCAACAATATTGCCCCCCACCAATAAGTTGGGTTGGAGAATTATTGGGGGGTCCCAATAATGTTGGTCAAAGTGGGCCAACATTATTGGGGGGGCCAATAATCCTCCAACCCAACCTTGGGGTCCAATAATTGGGCCAAGGTTGGGTTCCAACCCCCACCTATGGTTAACCCTAGTTGTGCACCCAAACATTGTTTGGGTGCCTATCTCTATCCTAGGGTTTAAAGGATCAATGCAGGATACAAAAGAGTAGTATAATCTAACACAACCCCTTAGCCTGCAGAGATCCTTAAACCTGGATGAGATAAGACAGCAACCCCTGAATCAGTCACCATGGGGGGCAAGGCCCAGGAGGGGCAAGATTGCCGAGTGAGTAGCGCGGTCGTGGGCCTTAGTGAAAATGTCGGCGGGGTTGGAGGATGAGTCGATCTTGCGCACGGTGATGTGGCCATCCTGGACAAGGTTGCAGACGAAGTAGTGTCGGTGCTCGATATGCTTGGAGCGACCATGGAAGACAGCTTCTTTGGTGAGGTAGATGGTGCTAGCGTTGTCACACCAGAGGGTGGGACATGGTTGTGGTGAGCCAAGGTCTGTGAGGAGATAGCTGAGCCAGCGTGCTTCCTGTGCCGCCATCGTGACCGCGTATAGTTCGGCTTCGCAGGAGGAGAGGGCGATTGAGGAGGAGCGGGTGGAGCGCCAGCTGATGAGGCCGCTCCCAAGGGAGAAACCATATCCCTGTGAGCTGCGACGGTCAGGTTGTGAATCTGCCCAGGACGAGTCGCTGAAGCTAGTGAGAACCGGCGGGTCCGCTCCACCAAGGGTGAGAGAGTAATTCTTCGTATGCTGAAGGTAGCGTAGGACATGCCGGGCCGCCGTCATGTGTTCCTCCGTGTGCCTGCCGACACCAACGAACCGCGCCAAAACACTGACTGGGTAGGCAAGGTCAGGGCGGGTGCAGACCATGGCATACATCAGGGCCCCGACAAGCTCTGCATAGGGGTTCGAGGAGTCGGTGGGGGTGGCAGGGGGCGAGAGCTGATGCCCAACTGCAAGCGGAGTGGCGATGGGCTTGGCTTTGGACATTCCAAACCTCTCAAGGACCTTCTCAATGTAGAAGGACTAAGAGAGGGAGATAGTCTTAGCCTTGAGGTCGCGGGTGATCTCCATGCCAAGGTAGTTGCGGACCTCCCCCAGGTTTTTGCAGGCGAGGCGACGCTGTAGTTTGTCCTTGACCTCCTGCATCTCAGCATCTGTGTCGGCAGCTTGTAGCATGTCGTCGACGTAAACGAGAATGTAGAAAGGGGACAGAGCCGTCCGAAGGAAGAGGCTGGAGGCAACTCGGGATGGGCGAAAACCAAGCTCGCGAAGGGTGGAAGAGAGCTTGGCATGCCACTCCCGGGGTGCTTGCTTGAGGCCGTAGACGGACCGCAGCAGCTTCCAAACGGTGGACGGGTCATGTGGAGAGTGAAAGCCTTTGGGGCGTTCCATGAAGATGAGTTCGTGTAGGTCGCCTTGGAGGAAGGCGGTAGTGACATCCATGGAGTGCAGCAGCATGTCGCGTCTGCCGACGAAGTCGAGGAACACCTGAACGACCGGTGGGGTAGCAGTGGGTGAGTATGTTTCGAATAAGTCAAAGCCGTGCTTCTGCGTGAAGCCCTTCGCCACATAGCGAGCTTTGTAGACAGGGTCTTCGCCAGGGAGAAGCTTGGCACGGAAGAGCCATTTGCCCTTGACGACATTGGTCTTGGCAGGGCGAGGGACGTCGATGAAGGAGCGGTTGTGGATGAAGGCGTTGCTCTCCTTGACCATGGCTTCAATCCAGAGCGGTGTGTCGAGGCAGGCAATAGCCTCCTCATACATGGTGGGTTCGAAGATGGTGGGGGTGCCCGAGAAAAGTAGAACTGGAGTGCCTGCCATGGTGCGGACGATGGGGGCGATGGAGGGCGCGAGGAGGTGGAGGAAGAGGAGTTCGTCGTGGGTGTCTTCATAGAGGAGAGGAGAGAGAGGAGGAGGTAGAGGGGGTGGTGAAGATGTAAGACAGCTGCGCTGGAGGTCGAATCTGAGACATGGAAGTGCTGCTGCTCGGCTGCGTGGTGGTGCAGTCAGGAGCGCGGAGCGGTTGCGCAGTGGATCTGGAGTGAGGGGGCTGAAGCGGGGGGGGAGGGGAGTACCGGTGAGGGCGAGGAGGGAGGGGGGGGAAGTCTGTGGGGAACCAAGGATGGGGTCCAGGGAGCGGGTGTGGGGATAGCGGGGAAGGACAAGGGTAGGGAAGGGGCGCCGGGGAAGGGGAGGGGGGAGGTGGAGGGGGGGGGCGAATTAGAGGAGGGGAGGGGGGAGGGAGGGGAAGGGGGCGGGGGAGGTGGAGTAGGGGGAGGAGGAGGAGGAAGGTGAGTTGCAGCGGAAGGTGAGGTAGTGGAGTGGGAGGGGGAGGGGGGGGGTGAGTTAAGGATGTCGCCGGAGGAGCTGGAGGAGAGGGGAGCGGGGGGAGGGGTGGAGGAGGGGGGGGAGGGGTCATGGCAGGGGACGGGAGGAGGGGCAGTGTGTCAGTCCAGAGAAGGGGCCGAGGAAATGGGGGAAGGGGGTTAGGGCCGGAGGAAGAGGTGTAGTACAGGGTGGCCTCATCAAAGACCACGTCTCGACTACGGATGAGGCGGCCTGAGGGGGGGTGGAGGAAAAGGTAATCAGGTGAGGTGGTGTTGTGTCCAAGGTAGACACAGGGGAGAGTGCGAGACGCAAGCTTTCCACGTGCGCGTGGGCGGTCGGCAGGGTGTATGAGGACATACGCCTTGCAACCCCACACGCGCAGAGGGGATATGTGAGGCTTGCTGGAGGTCCATAGTTCGGTGGGGGTGGAGGTGGGACGAGAGGGGTGGGGGTAGAGGTTAGTGAGGATGGCAGCGTGAAGGATGGCATAGCCCCAAAGAGAAGGTGGGCATGAGGGGTGAACGAGGAGGCACCGAGCAGTTTTGGTGATCTCCCGAACGCGGCTCTCCGCCACACCATTCTGCTGAGGGGAGTGAGGGAGAGTGTAGGTGTGGAGGATGCCGTGAGAGGTGCAGTAGGAGGACAGGGTGCGGTTGAGGAACTCACCGCCTCCATCGGAATGGAAGCGGCGAACAGGGCGACCAAAGTGGTTGCG